CATCTATCTCCCTTCCCGCAACTATAAATTCCGCAAACGCGCCTGCAAATCTCTCTCACGTTTTCCACTCGCGAGCCAGCTTCCGGGAAGCAGTGGCTAGGTGATGTGTTTGGTGCGACTCGAAAAGTCCCGTCCGGCTGACTATAGTCTGACCGGCTGCACGCTTGATCGCCACGACGAACTGTGGGATCCGGGCGAGCCGAGTCGAGTCTGCGTAAGCGGGGTGACGATTGCAGTGGCGAAAGTTAGCACGCGACGGCTGGGATCGTCGGTGCGGGTATGAGGATTTGTAATTGGAGTTGAGTGGACGATTGGCCAAGGGCCATATTGGAATTTCACGACGAATGCGCCTTCATTGCGGACCGTTTCTCTTGGTGTGAGTTCAGGGCTGTGAAGCCGAAGATTTCCTTGTTGAATTCTGGTGTCTTTTGTCACGGCCTTTCTCGTCTACCCCCCCCCCCCCATCTCTCTCTCTCCGACTTGTATAACGATGTGTTGTGGGCTTGTCTCTCTTGTAACCCAAAGTGAACTCTCGTGATTTCTTGAGAAGAAGAACTTCTTCTGGAACTCTTCCATTAGTTTCCTGGGTAATCCCCAGATATCGAGAACTTAATCCTCTTGTTCTATGAACAGTGGATGCGTGTGTACAATCCCTCGGTTGATTTCTCACCTATGCACCCTTGTCATTTTCGCACCTTCTACAGTGGATGTATGTATAGAAATGCTTGTATTTCTGCGATTGATTAGACCCAACGCTCGACAGGATTTTGTTCGAGAATCCAAGAGTGTTTAGATCTGTGGTTCTGAATGCATTGCGCATGCCATCTGCCTTATGCTGCACGACATCACAGACAGTCTGTGAGGCAGCTTCAAAAAAACTAGGCGCCTCGTGTTTTTGTTGATCTGATCTGCTGAAACTGAGTCGCGGGTTGATCCCTCGAAACTCCAACCCGATTAATGCATGAGATGGTCCTCCCGTGTCCAAAGGAAGAGAGATACTAATGAGTTCTTCTTCGATCGTGCTTTTTGATGACGTCTCAAGGATTTGTGTAAACTCCGTTTGATTGATTGATATGTGGACTAACGGTCGTTTGTCGATCAGGCGCCAGCCTTCCGTATCTCCCTCGCCGACGCGCCCCTTCCCTTACAACGAGGAAAGGACACGTGTATGTGAGTGGGACATACGAAAAACTGTTGCACGGATCGGTGAACAATATCACTTCCCTCCTGAAAATCGTTGTTCCGGGTTCGTGGATGCGGGCTTTGTCATCATCGATACGCACTTCCCACCCTACTGAGTATTGTAGCCGTTTAACGAGCTGATCGCCATTCAGTGGAGGGCAGTGGCGCCCCATTGGCCTCGAACCCTTTGCATTGAGTGCCATCGTTTCGATCGCTACGAATCAAAGGGCTTCCACTACCAGATACGGAGTGAAGACGAGCACAAGGAAAGAGCCACGCGACTGAGACCATCCACGTCAGACTCGGAACTGACCAATGAGCGACGTCGGGACTTGATACGGAAACGGGATACGCGGAGTGTACCGAAGCCGTTCCGCTCTAAACGAAGATCCGTAGCGCAGTGGGAAGCTCAACAATACTTTTTGGATTGAATTTTGATTTTTCCCTTTTCGCGCTGTGCCCGCGCGCGCATTCCGCGACGGGCGAAAGCAACCGACTTACGTCATCAGGCCAACACGGGGGATTTCAGTTCTATCTGTGTTCCCACACTCAATTTTCCAAAAATCCTTGGCACACCCCATCTTGCTGTTTTTCTGGGCCTTCATCCCTCACCTTTAGCACTCGGAACGAAAGACAGCACAGGGCGTTAGGTTGCGCTTCGCAATGCTTACTTAAGGCATTGCATTTCATTGTGATAGCTTTCCGGGGTAGATAAAACATTTTCGAAAACACAGTTTTTGTCATCCACTCATGAACAATAGGGCGTGAGAGAGAGTATTGCACTGTGGAGGCAGTGAGAGTGCTATTGTCAATGGTGGGAACGTTATTTGCCTGTTCTTAGCATAAGCAGGGTAGGAAGCAAACTTGAATGGTAATAATGGTGATCTTGGCTCAGTAAATGTTGTCGGCTTAAGGGTGCGTGGTGGAAAACCCGTCTAGGCAGTTCAGGCTTCGTCAACAGATCTGTTTAGATTTTGGTTAAGGTAGGCTAAATTGAGTCTCCTGTTGGGAAGCTGGACCTCGTTTCCAGCCAAGCCGAAGCTGGGTAATGGCCCCAGTACACACCGAGCAGAATGGTAAGGTCCCCGGGTTTCGTATAAATTGTGTTTTTCAAAAAGAAAAAAAAAGAAGGAAAATTTTCGAAATGCCCCTCTGAAATTCATATATTTGCAGCATGCCCCTCTGACGGCCGACTTACCCTGTAGTGGGGCCTCTGAAAGTTTCCCCCAGGCCCCCGTCAGCGTGTGTGTGTGTGTGTGTGTGTGTGTGTGTGTGTGTGTGAGAGAGAGAGAGAGAGAGAGAGAGAGAGAGAGAGAGAGAG